AGGGCGCATGCGCTCGCTAGAAAGAGACAGAGACAAAAAGCAAGAAATCACCCCTAGTCACCCAGCGCTCCTAAGTCAGAGACTCCCTATTCTACTGGATTTGAAAATGGGCCACCCTGGACCGGCAGGGGGCGTGCTGGTACCTCGCCTTATCATTCACAGGAAAGAAACCACCAACCTCTGCCCACAGAGTCACCTGCAACCAAGGTGATCCCAATCCACGCAAAGTGATTATTGTGGACCCCGATAGTGAGTCTTGGGTTTTTATTTTGGTGACAAAAAGATCAAACACGGAAAAACAAACGTTACAACAGACCCATGAGTTCCAGGGATGCCTCCTGGGTTTCTTCTCAGGAACCTCTTCAGGTGCCCTGGGTGCCTCCTGGAACCCCCGAGGTGTTCCCCCTGAGAACAGTTTGAGAATCGGCACTCCCTGGCCGACCAGAAGGTTGAGCACTGCAGGGAAGGTTCAGACAGTGGCCTCCACCTCGGTGGCTTCATCATCCTCCTCCAGCAGGCTGTAGGAGGCGTGGCTCTGGCAGGGCCGCTGCAGCGGGTGAGCCAACAGCTTCGCCATGCAATTGTGCAACTCCAGGGCAGGCCCGGCCAGTGCCACCTCATACTTGTAGCTGGTACCCTTCGTATCCAGGCTGCCTATGAAGGCAAACATGTCCTGGGAGGGGAACAGTGAGGAGCTGATCAGGAAGGGGATACCCAGGGGAGGGGCTAAATAGGGTGGGTTCTGAAGGGTGCAGAGGAGTTTGCCAAGGAGAAACCATTCAGGCATTCAGCACAGTGTCAAGGGCCTCAAGAGGTCTGTCTTGGCTCTTTTAGAGCCCCCAGCACAGGGGCCAGCAGACAGCGTAGCGGTGATGTTGCTGGACTCCCACGTGGTCAACTGTGGTTCGAGTCCTGGACCTGGGGTTTGAAAATCACACTGGGTGTGTGTGCGTGCATGCCTGAAATCCCAGGGGGAGAGTGAAGAAGGGATGGAGGCGTGGCCATCCCCCCTGGGGGTGATTTCTCATTTGGGACCAGCAGATGGTGTAGCCCTTACATGGCTGGACTCCCACACGGTTGATCGTGGTTCAAGTTCCAGACCCAATAGCTTTAAAATCGCACCAGACACGTGTGCATGCCCAAGATCCCGGGAGGAGAATGGAGGAGAAGGGATTGCGGCGTGGCCATCCCCTAACGGTCAGCAATGTGGGAGTCCAGTGCCCTTAACCACAATGCCACCTGCTGGCCCCAGTTAATAATTCTTAAAAAAGTAAAAAATGAAAAAAGAAAAAAAGGAAGAGAGAGAAGCAGGGTTGTGGGGGCTGGGATGGGCAGCCTGGGCGCCCCTAGGCCACTGTGCCAGCAGCCCCTCCTCTTCAGTCAGCCCTGGCTCAGGACACCGAGGACACGGGGACTGAAGGGCTGCCTGGCCGTGATCCAGCCCAGCCCGGGGTCCAGGGCTGCCACTCAGAGGGAGACGCCCCCAGGCCCAGGGTGGGCAGACAGGGCGGCGCCCACCTGCGTGGCCTCTCACCTTCCAGGTCACCTCCTCCTCCTTCTCCTCCGCGCCGTTGTGGATGTACACGACATCGAAGAAGAAGTAGGGACACTGGAACATTTTCTGCAGGGGACGGAAAGGACACGAGGCTTCGGGGATGCCCCAGAGCCACACCACCCCGGCTTCGGCCTCTGGGAACCTGCGTGCAGGCGAGCCCAGCAGCCGCGGTGGGGAGGACGTCCCTCCGGGCATCTCCCCGGCAGCCTCGGCTCTGCGGGGCCGGACGCACCTTCATGGGCTCCGTCAGGGAGAACTGGGGCTGGCAGGGCGGACGGCTGTACAGGAGGATGGTGCGGACCACGTACGGGGGCGGGATCGTCTGCACGTTCTCCGTGACCGGCAGCTCGGTTTTCTGCTGGCTGCATGGACCAAGGAGGGGGTGGGTCAGGTGAGCACTCCAGGGTCTGCCAAAGTAGGTGCTGGAGGCTGTACCTGGCCCCTCCGGGGTTCCCCGCTGCCTCTGAGCCTTCGCATATGCTGTTCCCACTGCACAGAGCTGTGCCGAGGCTCCCCAGGGAGGCTGGAGCTTGCATGGCCACACTCAGGGCCCCTTCTCCATCACTGCCCTGCGCTCAGCAGATCACAAGGCAATTTTCCCCCTGGCCCCAGCTCCTGTGTGTGTGTTTTTTAAAAGATTATTTAATTATTATTATTGATTTATTTTAATTTGACCAGAGAGGGACAGAGAGAGAGAGAGAAAGAGAGAGAGAAAGTGAGAAAACAAGCCACCAGGTCCGAAACTCAAACTGTGTTCAGCCATGCGAGAGTCCAGCGCCCTTAACCACCATGCCACCTTCTTGGTCCCCCAAGCTCCTGTTTTAAGCAGGAACTGTTTTCTATTCCTTTGTGTTTTTTTTTTTTTTTTTCAAGAATTTATTTTACTTATTATTACGTTTTAATTTGACCAAAGAGAGAGAAAGGGAAAGTGAGAAAGCAAGCCACCAGGACCGGGACTTGAACCATGGTCAGCCATGTGGGAGTGTCCAGCACCTTAACCACCATGACACCTGCTGGCCCTCTCCTTTTTTTTTTTTTTTTTTTTGAGAGGTTTTTGCTATAGGGCACGTGCGCTCGCCAGACAGAGAGACAGAAAGCGAGAAATCACCCCCCAGGGAGGATGGCCAGGCCGCAATCCCTTCTCCTCCATTCTCCTCTCGGGATCTTGGGCACGCACGCACATGCGCCCGGCGTGAGTTTAAGCCACCGGGTCCGGGACTTGAACCATGGTCGACTACATGGGAGTCCAATGATGTAACCGTTACACCATCTGGCAGTCCTGAATAAGACTTTTTCACTTTCTTTCTCTCTCTATCCCTCTCTGGTCAAATTAAAATGAATGAATGAATAAAGTAATTCTTAAATAAATAAATAAATAAATAAGACCAGACAAAAATCTATAAACAGATAAATCAGTGGGAAAAAAAAAATGTTACATGGATGGGGCCGGCAGGTGGCGTGGTGGTTAAGGGCGCTGGACTCCCACATGGGCAACCATGGTTCGAGTCCCGGACCTGGCGACTTGCTTTCTCACTTTCCCATTCTCTCTCTCTGTCACTCTGTCCTTCTCTGGTCAAATTGAAATAAACAAGTAAATAAGAAAAAGTTCAAATAATTATTAAAAAAAAAATAAAAACGAAATGGACGTTTTCTTATTTTCCTTTTAATGGCCGGCGTGTGCATATCTGTCAGAGGGTAGATGAACCCACCAGAAAGACAGACAGACATGACAGCCAGGCTGCAATCCCTTTTCCCCTCCCCTGTCTGGACAGACTTCGGGCACACACACACACATGCGCCCGGCATGTCTGCCGAGCTGCCAGGACTGTGATTCGAACTGCCGTCCGCCACGTGGGACCTGGCTCCTGTAACCACCAGGACACGGGCTTGGTTTGTTCAATGTATTTCAAGTGCACAAAACGACCAAGTGGCACGGTGGTTAAAGAGCTGAATCCCGGGACCAGCAGTTAGTGTAATGGCTATGTCGCTGGACTCCCATGTAGTCGACCGCGGTTCGTGTCCCGGACCCGGTGGCTTAAACTCACGCCGGGCGCGTGTGCGTGCGTGCCCAAGATCCCGAGAGAATGGAGGAGAAGGGACTGCGGCGTGGCCATCCTCCCTGGGGGGTGATTTCTCGCTTTCTGTCTCTCTGTCTCTCTCTGTCTGTCTGGCGAGCACACGCGCCCTATAGCAAAAACCTCTCCAAAAAAAAAAAAAAAAACCAAACAGTGCTGAATCCCACATGGCCAACTCTGTGGGTACGACTCCAGGATCCAGGGGCTTGAAAATCACAGGAGGCACGCGTATGCATGCATGCCCAAAATCCCAAGAGGAGGATAGAGAAGGGATTGCAGTAACATGGCCATAACCCCTGGGGGTGCTTTCTTACCCCCCACCCCATTCTCTCGTGTTCAATAGGGAAAAAGAAGAAAATTCCCCGAGGGGGACTTACATGAGATTGAAGAGACCTTCCAGATCTGGTCGGGATGCTAAGGAGAACACGGGTGGCAGGCGGCCTCCCTGATCCTGAGGCTGGGAAGTCCTGGGCCCCTCCGGAGACGTGCTGTGTGACCATGGTCAAATTGCTTGTCCTCTCTGAGCCTCCAAGTCACTACAGCACAGGTCACGACAGGGGACTCTGGCACTGGATACCCCTCGGTGATTCAAAGTTCCTGTTTCTTTCAGGGCCCCTCTCTTCATAACGAAAGAGTCAGGAGGTCTCTATGCCCCCCCCGTTTCTCTCTGCATTTTTAAAAAATAATTATTTATTTATTTTTGGGACCAGCAGTTGGTGGACTCTCATATAGTCAACCGAGTTCAAGTCCTGGACCCAGTGGCTTAAACTCACACCGGGTACATGTGTGTGTGTGCCCAAGATCCTGAGAGGAGAATGGAGAAGGGATTGTGGAGTGAGCATCCCCCATGGGGGGTGATTTCTCGCTTTCTGTCTCTATGTCTCTCTCTGTCTGGTAAGTGCATGTGCCTTATAGCAAAAACCTCCCCCACCCACTCAAAAAAAATAATTATTTATTTATTTTCACTTATTCATTCACTTATTTTAATTTGATCAGAGAGCCAGAGAGAGACATAGAGAAAGAGAGAGAGAGGGCGGAAGTGAGAAAGCAAGCCACCAGGTCTGGGACTCCAACCATGGTCGGCCACGTGGGAGTGTCCAGTGCCATAACCACCATGCCACCTGCTGGTCCCTCTTTCTGCGGGTTTTTTTTTTTAGAGACAGATTTTTGCTGTAGGGTGTGTGTGCTCACTGGAGAGACAGAGACCCAGAGAAACAGAAAGCAAGAAATCACCCCCCCCAGAGAGATGGCCACACCGCGATCCCTTCTCCTCCATCCTCCTCTCGGGATCTTGGGCACGTACGCACACGTGCCCGGCGTGAGTTTAAGCCACCGGGTCCGGGACTTGAACCACAGTTGACAACATGGGAGTCCAGCGCCTTAACCACCACGCCACCTGCTGGTCCCTTATTACTTTCTCTTCAAAGCCGCCCTGGAGGACGGCAGTTCTGCGATTCCCCTTGACAGATGGAGAAACGGAGGCGCTGGAAGGTGACTTGTGCCCCCCTACCACAGCACAGCCGAAATGGGAAACTGGGCCAGCAGCCCCAGAGCGCCGGGTCGGGGTTTCCCAGGCCCTGGGGACGTCAGGGAGGGCCGCGGCCTCCGTAGGAAGGATACTGAAGGTGGAGCAGGACGCCGTCTCCAGGTCGTACAGGCAGCTGCAGAGCTCGCGGGGGTCGGAGGTCAGGCCGGACAGCTGTACGGAGAAGCACAGGCTTCAGCGGGGTGCTCCCGGGCCCTGGGCGCCCCGGCGGGCACTCAGCACCTGCCCCAGCCTCACCCAGGCCGTGTCATTGTTAACCACCACCAGCGCGAACTCGTGGCTCTTGTCGATCTTGTGTTTGGTCCTCACGAACATCTCGATCATCTTCTGGGAGACGTTGAGGGCGTTGGTCTTGGAGCTGGGGGCGCACAGAGAGGGCAGGGGAGTTAGGGGCTCCCACCTAGCCATGGGAGGGGGATTCTCTGTGAGGCCCAACATATACCCTGGAAGGCGCGGATCCCGCAGCAGACGGGGGACAAGGACCGATCACAAACCTAGCCCACTGGTCTCCGGGTCAGGCCCTCTCCATCCCGGCCCCTCTGGCCAGCCCGGGTCTCCTGTCAGTCCCATGGGAGGCCTCGGGGAGCTGCTCTGAGGATCGGCCATGGAGGGGGTCACAGATGCCACCAAGGGGGCAGGAAGAGGTCTCATCTCCATCAGGTCCTGGGAACCCTTAGGGCCCTGTCACCTAACCTCATGGAGACGCAGAGGCTGGAAGCACATGGCTGGGCATAAACTCAATGGTTCGAATCCTGGGACTGAATTCTGCCCCTGGGGATTGCTGGGACACTTCAGGAAAGGCACATAAATTTTCAGAGTTTAAAACAATTTTTTTTTTGGGGGGGGGGCATGGGACACATGTGCTTGCCAGAGAGGAACAGAGAAAGGGGAGGGCAGCTGATGGCATGGTGGTAAAGGTGCTGGACTCCCACGTGGTTCGAGTCCCAGACCTGGCAGCTTCCTTTCTCACTTTCCTTCTCTCTCTCTCACTGTTTCTCTCTCCAGGGAGAACACATGCCCTTTACCAAATTACAAAATCATACGGTCCAGCAGTTAGCGTAATGGCTATGTCACTGGACTCCCATGTAGTCGACTGCGGTTCGCGTTCCAGACCCGGTGGCTTCAACTCATGCTGGGCGCATGTGCGTGCGTGCCCAAGATCCCAAGAGGAGAATGGAGGAGAAGGGATTGCGGTGTGACCATCCCCCCTGGGGGATGATTTCTCACTTTCTCTCTGTCTCTCTGTCTTTCTGGGGTGCCCATGTGCCCTATAGCAAAAAAATCTTTCCCCAAAAAAAAAGGGGGGACCAGGAGTTAGCATAATGGCTATGTCGCTGGACTCCCAGGTAGTCGACCGTGGTTCGAGTCCTGGACCCAGTGGCTTAAACTCACACCAGGCGCGGGTGGGTGTGTGCCCAAGATCCCGAAAGGAGAATGGAGGAGAAGGGATTGCGGTGTGACCATCCCCCCTGGGGGATGATTTCTCACTTTCTCTCTGTCTCTCTGTGTCTTTCTGGCAAGTGCACACGCCCTTATAGCAAAAACCTCTAAAAAAAAAAAAAATAAGAATTACTCTATTTAACTTTATTTACCTATTTACTCGTTGTAACTTGATGAAAGAGAGAAAGTGAGAAAGCAAGCCGCCAGGTCTGGGACTTGAACCAGAGTTGGCCATGTGGGAGTCCAGCGCCCTTAACCACCACACCACCTGCTGGTCCTGGGAGTCCAGTGTTTTAACTTCCATGCCATTGGCTGGCCTGGGGGGGGTCCCCTCTTTGAGGGGCTGGCTAATTCCCAGCTCTGGCTACATGGCAGCTCCAATATGGAGCTCTTACCCATTAAACGACTCCAGCTTCAACAGTGACATTTCCTCCGACAGGTCCAGGCAGATGATCTGGAAGGAAGGTAGAGCTGGTGAGGGACCCTTGGGCGCCAACACTGGATCCCCGGCACCATGCTGCTGGCCCTCTCTGAGCAGGTGTGTCTGAAAAGGCAGTTTGGGGGACTCCAGCTGACCTCCAGGCACAGACATAGGAAGACGATGGCTCCGGGGTAGAGTCCTGGACTGAGAGTCCAGGTGGATGAGGGGATGTATGAACCGCGGCACGTCCATCACAGAGCCGTGGAAACGAGGTCTTATACATGAGCTGCTGGACCAGCCAGGTGGCCTGGTGGCTAAGGCAGCTGGAGCCCACGTGGCCAGCTCTGTGATCTGGGTCCCGGACCCAGCGGCTTGAAAAATACACCAGGCAAATAAAACGTTTTAAAAAAGAAAATAAAATGTAGGGACCAGCAGTTGGTGTAATGGCTATGTCGCTGGACTCCCACGTAGTCGACCATGGTTCGAGTCCTAGACCCGGTGGCTTAAACTCACGCCGGGCGCGTGTGCGTGCGTGCCCAAGATCCCGAGAGGAGAATAGAGGAGAAGGGATTGCGGCGTGGCCATCCCCCCTAGGGGGTGATTTCTCGCTTTCTGTCTCTCTGTCTCTCTCTCTGTCTTCCTGGAGAGCACATGCGCCCTATAGCAAAAACCTCTAAAAAAAAAAAGAGTTATTTATTTAGGTATCAGCAAATGGCACAACGATTACGTGGCTGGATTCCCACATAATTGACCATAGTTCGAATCCTGGACCTGGTGACTTAAAACTGACACCAGGCACATGTACGTACATGACCAAAATCCTGAGAAGAGAATGGAGAAGGGACTGCAGCGTGGCCATCCTCCCTGGGGGTGATTTCTCCTTTTCTGTTTCTCTGTCTCTCCAGTGAGCGCACGCACCCTAAAGTGAAAATCTCTCTCTTGCAAAAAAGATTTATTTGATTTATAATGTTTTTTTTTTTAGTTTTGCTATAGGGCTTGTGCGCTCACCAGAGAGAGAAAGAGAGAGAGGGAAAGTGAGAGAGCAAGCTGCCAGGTCTGGGACTCGAACTGTGGTTGGCCATGTGGGAGTCAAGCTCCTTAACCACCACGACACCTACTAGTCCCTGTGCTAACTCTTTTTTTTTTTTTTTCTGGAGAGGTTTTTGCTATAGGGCGCGTGCACTCGCCAGACAGACAGAGACAAAGAGACAGAAAGCGAGAAATCACCCCCCGGGGGGATGGCCACGCTGCAATCCCTTCTCCTCCATTCTCCTCTCGGGATCTTGGGCATGCACGCACACGCGCCCTGCGTGAGTTTAAGACACTGGGTCCGGGACTCGAACCGTGGTCGACTACATGGGAGTCCAGCGACGTAGCTATTACACCAACTGCTGGTCCCTCTGTGCTAACTCTTGAAAGTCATAGGAAACAAATACAAAGAGAATGTTTGCAGACTGAATACCAAAAGGCAGCAACGTTTAACTGGAGCTTCCCAGAGCCTCAGTGCCTACTCACCACTTTCTCTGGACAGTTGACCCTTGGCGTCCGAACCTGGACCTCCGGGGCTGGTGGGGGCACCTGCCAGGGCTTGGGGCCAGCTCCTGGAGCTTTCGGGGTTCCATCATCAGCACTGGCCGCCTCTCCCTCACCCTCGCTGCGGCTGCCCACGCTGGCCTGGGCCCCCAGTGCCCGATCCTCAGCTCCCTCGGGGTTGGAGCGCGTGCGCGGCCGGGGCCCTGCTGACTGCTCCTCCTCCTCTTCTTCCTCCTCAGTGGGGCTATTGGGTTCCACCACTTCCATGGCTCCTGCGTGGCTGCATGGAACAGGGACCGAGTTAGCAAGGAGTTGCTCCTTGGGGGGTTTCAGAAAAATGGGCTCACGAAGCATGAAAAGAGACTATGAGCTAGCTGCTGATTATAAAAGCCATTCTGAGGACCTGCAGTTAGCGTCATGGCTATGTCGCTGGACTCCCATGTAGTTGACCATGGTTCGTATCCTGGACCCGGTGCCTTAAATTCACAGCGGGCACATGTGCATGCGTGACCAAGATCCCGAGAGGAGAATGGAGGAGAAGGGATTGTGGCGTGGCCATCCCCCCTGGGGGGTGATTTCTCGCTTTCTGTCTCTCTGTCTCTCTCTGCCTGTCTGGTGAGTGCACGCGCCCTATAGCAAAAACCTCTCCAAAAAAAATAAATAAAAGTCATTCTGAGGACCAGCAGTGGTGTGGTGGTTTAGGAACTGGACACTCCCACATGGCTGACCATGGTTCAAGTCCTGGACCTGGTGGCTTGCTTTCTCATTTTCCTCTCTTTCTCTATGTCTCTCTTTGGTCAAATTAAAATAAATGAATGAATAAATAAAAATAAATAATTATTAAAAAATAAAGTCGGAAAAAGCAGTAGGAGTAATGGCTATGTCACTGGACTCTCACGTAGTCGACCACGGTTCAAGTCCCGGACCCGGTGGCTTAAACTCACACCGGGTGCGTGTGCGTGCGTGCCCAAGATCCCAAGAGGAGAATGGAGGAGAAGGGATTGTGGCATGGCCATCCCCCCCAGGGGGGTGATTTTTCGCTTTCTATCTCTCTGTCCTTCTCTGTTTTTCTGGCGAGAGCACATGCTGTACAGCAAAAAAAAACCTCTCAAAAGAAACTATTCATTTAACTGTATTTATTAATTCATTTATTAAAATTTGACCAGAGAGACACAGACAGAGAGAGAGAAAGGGAAAGTGAGAAAGCAAGTCACCAGATCCAGGACTCAAACTGTGGTCAGTCATGTGCGAGTGTCTAGCGCCTTAATCACCATGTCACCTGCAGGCCCCCTATTTATTTATTTTTAAGAGATTTTTGCTAGGGACCAGCAGGTGTCACGGTGATTAAGGGAGCTGGATCCCCACATGGCTGACCGCAGTTTTGAATCCTGGACCTGACAGTTTCTTTCTCACTTTCTCTGTCCCTCTCTGGTCAAATTAAAAATAAATAAACTTAAATAAAATAATTCTTTTTTTTTAAAAAAAAAAAAAAAGGAGACTTTTTGCTATAGGGTGCATGTGCTCACCAGAGAGACAGAAAGTGAGAAATCCCCCCCTGGGGGCATGGCCATGCCACAATCGCTTCTCCTCAATTCTCCTGTCCGGATCTTGGGCACGCACACACACACACCCGGCATGAATTTTAAGTAGCTAGGTCCTGGACTCGAACTGCGGTCGACTACGTGGGAGTCCAGCGACAAAACTATGATGCCATCTATTGGCCCTAGATTCTTTTTTTATTAATCAAAAGAAATTTAAGTACCATCCATTTACTTTCTTTTCTTTATTTATTATTAATATTTTCTTTAATTTGACCAGAGAAAAAGAAAAAGTGAGAAAGCCAGCTACCAGGTCCAGCACCCAAACCACCGTCATCCATGTGGGAGTTCAGGGCTCCAACCACCATGCCACCTGCTGGTCCCATTAAATTAAAAATCATTTTTTTCTACAGGGAGTATGCATGCACAAGAAAGAGACTAGGAAAGAGAAGAACCACCACCCCCTCACAGGGCATGGTCACACTGCAATCCCTTCCCTGTCTCTCACTCCTTTTGGGATTTTGGGCACCCATGCACACATGCCAGACTGGTTTTCTTAAGCCTCCAGGTCTGGGACTTGAACTGTGCAGTTTGCCTTATGGGATCCAGCTGCCTTAACCACCACCTCATGCCTTAACCTGAACCAACTCCCAATTTTTTTCCATGGGGGTAATCCCACCTGCCCTCAACAGGGTCCATCATGAGTCCATAACTCTCTGGCCACTGGGAATACCCCAGGGATGAGAACATGGGCCCATACAGGGCTACTGAGCAGCAAGTCTGGGATTTCCAATAATGCAACCAGAGTTAACGGCAAGTCTGGGATTTCCAATAATGCAACCAGAGTTAAAGAGACTCCCTTCAGGATTGGAGAGCTGGGAGGACAGACGCTGACAGCTGCCAGAGACCTCTTTTACTTCCAAGGGTGGAAAGACAGCAGGCCAGAAGTGATGCCTACCAAAATACAGCCGATCGACTTCCGAGCAGCACCTGGATCCAGCTATGCCTGAATTCCTCTCTAAACCACTAACTTCCCTTTCTGACTTTAGCTGAGCTCAGATAGGTTTTCTGTTGCCTGTAACGGACAACGACTTGGTCAATGAAAGAATGACAACCTACGGGGGTTCCCCCCTGGGGGCGATGGGCCGCTGAGAGAACGTCAGCACGCAGGGGGGTCGTGGACCTGGATGGGATGGGTCCTCTGGGGGAAACTGGTACAATCTGTCTATCTGAGCAAAGGCAGCGGGCTCCCGGGGATGGCCTCGGAATACCCGGCAGCCCCACCATCTCTATGGAAAACAAAGCTTTACCCGCAGCCCGAGGATGGGGGCGACACTGCAAAAGAACCAGAGCTTCGGGCAAAAGATTCAGAGAGAACGAGGGGGCGGGACCTCTGGGGCAAAAGGAGCTGGGCCGCTACACACAAGCCCCGCACGATTTCACCCACGAACTTCTGCTCACCGTAGCCGGAGCCTCCGTCCAAACCAGCCGCCGATTCACTAGGAAGCCGCCATCTTGCCGGCCGGAAGTGGTATGGCGCAGCCGCGACGCCTGCTGGGAAATGTAGTCCGCGTGGCGTAGGAGGCGCGGAGAGATGGAACAGAGGAGGCTGGAGTGGACTTGAAACTGATAGGCTGGAACTGTGCTGAGGGCGGGGCTTGGAAGGTGATGCAGTGGATCTTGGCTGTGATTGGTTTAATTGAGAACTAAGTTTAAAATATGATTGGCTAAAGCAATTATGCTAGGCGGAGTCTAATCTCTCTTGTCCAATTAGATGACGCTAGTTAATAAATTGCTAGGCGGGATAGGTTGGCAATGTAATAAACCGAGAGGGCGTGAACTGCGTGGGATTTAGGGGATGAGGCGAAGCTCATTGGTGACTGGAGAAACTGACCTGAATCTCACTCCTGGGCAGATTTTCTTGGTTGGAGATGGGCATGACCTAGGACCCCCCAAGACCCGCCCAGTTATGTTATTCTCTCTGATTTACATATTTTTGCATAAATAAAAAATACTCCCTAGAACCGTTTAAAAATCATTCTGAGTTTGGTGGTGTGGTGGTTAAAGGTTGGATTTTCACATGGCTGACTGCAGTTCAAATCCTGGTCTCTGTTTCCCTCTGTCCCTTTCTGGACAAATTAAATAAATAAATGAAGTTAAACAAAATAATTCTTTTTTTTTTTTTTTTTTTTTTGGAGAGGTTTTCGCTATAGGACGCGTGTGCTCACCAGAAAGACAGACAGAGAGAGACAGAAAGCGAGAAATCACCCTCCAGGGAGGACGGTCACGTGGCAATCCCTTCTCCTCCATTCTCCTCTCGGGATCTTGGGCACGCACGCACAAGCGCCTGGTGTGAGTTTAAGCCACTGGGTCCGGGACTCGAACCATGATCAACTACCTGGGAGTCCAGTGACATTGCTATTATGCTAACTACTGGTCCCAAACAAAATAATTCTTTTAAAAAATCAGTCTGAGTTTAATTAGAAAAAGGTTTATTAAACCTACCCACATCAGTCGAGATCTGATTGAATAATAGCCTGGAAGGACTACGTAAATTGAGCCTTGATAGATGAAAAATTTGTCAGAAAAACAAAAAGTGAAGGGACCAACAGGTGGCGTGGTGGTTAAGGTGCTGGATACTCTCACATGGCTGAGCACGGTTCAAGTCCTAGACCTGATAGGTTGGTTTTTCACTTCCCTCTCTCTCTCTCTAGTCAAATGAAAATAAATGCATGAATATATAAAATTAAACAAATAATTCTTTTTTTAAAAGTGAAAGGAATTGAGGCAGAAGGAACAGCCTGGGCCAAAGCCTAGAGACTTAAACGAACCATAGAGTGGTCTCCTAGAACCTCTTGTGGATCTTAGCCACGCGGGCACAAGCGCCTGGTGTGAGTTTAAGCCACTGGGTCCGGGACTCGAACCATGATCAACTACCTGGGAGTCCAGTGACATTGCTATTATGCTAACTACTGGTCCCAAACAAAATAATTCTTTTAAAAAATCAGTCTGAGTTTAATTAGAAAAAGGTTTATTAAACCTACCCACATCAGTCGAGATCTGATTGAATAATAGCCTGGAAGGACTACGTAAATTGAGCCTTGATAGATGAAAAATTTGTCAGAAAAACAAAAAGTGAAGGGACCAACAGGTGGCGTGGTGGTTAAGGTGCTGGATACTCTCACATGGCTGAGCACGGTTCAAGTCCTAGACCTGATAGGTTGGTTTTTCACTTCCCTCTCTCTCTCTCTAGTCAAATGAAAATAAATGCATGAATATATAAAATTAAACAAATAATTCTTTTTTTAAAAGTGAAAGGAATTGAGGCAGAAGGAACAGCCTGGGCCAAAGCCTAGAGACTTAAACGAACCATAGAGTGGTCTCCTAGAACCTCTTGCCTCTAACAGCTTGATATGGCTGTTGGTGCAGAGGCTGAGAGTCCCAAGTTCGAGCCCCTGGGAAGCCCCAGGGAGAGAATTGCAACTACTCTCCCCACACCTTTTCCTTCCTGGGGGACGCAGAGGCAGGAAGAGTCAGATTCCAGCCATTGCTCAGCTTCAGTGAGCAACCAAGTGCAAAAGGAAGGAAAGGGTGTTTCAGGGGACTATGAGAGCCTTGAGCATCTTCATCTGTCCATGGAAGGGGTCATAGCGGCTGAAGCACGCACCGTGCACAAGACAGACAGCTACAGCCTCCAATGCCAGGCTCTTAGGAGCCGTCGAGAGCATGTGAGCTGGAGAGGAGAGAAATGAGATCTCTGTCTCAGTGGCTTGGGAGAGAGGAATGGAGAAAAGTAAAAGATGAGGAAGCAAGAGCCCAAGGAAATGGGACAAGAGGTGAGGGAGCCAGAGGCCAAAGAAGTTGAGCTCAGATCCAGGTGGGAGGGGTCAGGTTTGAGCTGTCAGTGTGGACAGAGACAAAGAGGCTCATTAGAGGTGGATGCCGGACAAATGGACAGGATATGGAGACCAACCGGGGCTCCGGGGACTGCAGCTTTATTTTTTCTTAATTGTCAGAGGGTGTGTGAGGCTCACCAGAGACAGAGAGAGAGGGCGTCCGCCCACAGGGTGTGGTCACGCAATTCTTCTTCTTTTTTTTTTTTTTTTTAGAGAGGTTTTTGCTTTAGGGTGCGTGCGCTCGCCAGACAGACAGAGAGAGACACAGAGACAGAAAGTGAGAAATCACCCTTCAGGGAGGATGGTCACACCGCAATCCTTTCTCCTCCATTCTCCTCTTGGGATCTTGGGCAAGCACGCATATGAGCCCAGCGTGAGTTTAAGCCACCGGGTCGGGACGCGAACCGCGGTCAGCTACCTGGGAGTCCAGCGACATAGCCATGACGCCAACTGCTGGTCCCATGCTGCAATTCTTTCCTCTCCGTTTCTCCATCCTGTCAGTATTTGGGGTGCTCATGTACACAAGGTCTGTGTGATAGTTGTTCTTTTTTATTTAAAAAATTATTTCATTTTGGGGACCAGCAGATGGCGTTGTGGTTAAGGTGCTGGACACTCCCACATGGCTGACCACAGTTCGAGTCCCGGACCTGGTAGCTTCCTTTCTCTCTTTCTCTCTCTCTCTCTCTCTCTGTGTCTCTCTCTGGTCAAATTAAAATAAACGAATGAATAAATAAAAATTAAATAAATAATAAGTTTTTAAAAATTATTTCATTTTATTATGTTTATATATTTAAGAATTCTTTATTTATTATGGTTATTATTAAATTTGTGACAGGGCCCATGTGCTCATGAGAGAGAGAAGGGGAATGTAAGGAAGTAAGTCACCAGGTCCGGGACTTGAACCACAATCAGCCATGGGGGAGTCCAGCACTTTCACCACCATGCCACCTGCTGACCCCAATGACATTTTTTTAAAAAGAATTATTTTATTGAACTGTATTTGTTTCGTTTGATTTGCCCAGAGAGAGACAAAGTGAGAAACAGAGAAAGTGAGAAAGCAAGCTGCCAGGTCCAGGACTTGAACCATGGTCAACCATGTGGGAGTCCAGCACACTTAACCACTATGACACCTGCCAGTCCTGACACTTTTTTTTTCACAAATGACATTTTTTTAAAAAGAATTATTTTATTGAACTGTATTTGTTTCGTTTGATTTGCCCAGAGAGAGACAAAGTGAGAAACAGAGAAAGTGAGAAAGCAAGCTGCCAGGTCCAGGACTTGAACCATGGTCAACCATGTGGGAGTCCAGCACACTTAACCACTATGACACCTGCCAGTCCTGACACTTTTTTTTTCACAATTATTTTATTGAACTTTATTTATTTTTCATTTGACCAGAGAGAGAAAGAGGGACAGAGAGAGAGAAAGCAAGCCACCGGGTCTGGGACTCGAACTACAGTTGGCCAAGTGGGAGCCCAGCGCCCCTAACCACCAC